TCTCACGTGTTATCAATCCCGCTCTTTTCTCATTTTCTTCTTTGTTTTTGCTTTTGGAAATCCCAAAAAGACTCATGTGTGATCTTATCTATTAGATATAGTAAAGTATCACAGGCTGGAAATCACACAGTACACTGTACATCAGGTGGTAATTTGTATCCAATGGGTACATATGTATAAAAGGGGAATGTCTTCTTGTTAAATTGTCTGACATGTTATTAGGAGACTCCAATATAAACCATTGATTGAATGTATGATCTAGATTGACAATCAAACAACATACGTAATAGATGCAACAAAAAATGACAAGTGTGTGATAAGTTCCATTTTCTTTCGTGATTTGAATCCGAGTGTAGCTGCTAACAACATTTTATTTTTCAGAACTGCTCACAACATATCGAGAGTGGGAGGTTCTGTGCATAAGCAAGAAAAGGTTTTGTTCCTGAAAGCTAATAAATTCTTGTGGCATGGACCAACTACTTGGAGAGCCTATATCAGAAGGTTATCCAACTGGTTTTGAGTATCTTGAATGCTAGATTTCCCTTTTTTTTTCTTTTCCCATTTGGTGATTCAAGAGTTGTAGACCGTTGAGTCCATTCTTCACTAAGATTTCAAATGAAATATACTGAAAAAGGTTCCATACAAGCTCAGTGTGAACTGATACTGCTTGATATAAGCATGCATGCCAGTAGGATGCTGGCCTTGAAACTTGTTTTTCTCTAATTTTTTAAGTTATCTAAACATTACCCTCAAGCAGAGCAGATATGAGCTTAGCCAAGTTGGCTAGAGTGGATGTGCTCCCCACTCTGCATCCGAGTTCGAATCCCTCTTCCCATAGTTTAGATTAGTTTAAGTTAGATTATCGTTTGTAAAAAAAAAAACACTTAACCCTCTAATTAATTAAATTCCAACTACAGCTAGACTAGACCAACAAGGTCCTAATCAACAGCCAAAAATGAGGGATTTCTCTGTGTTTCTGAGAGACACAGGCCAGAGTTTATTACTTTCATGTCACTGACATATTGCATTTTGATTGCTCTGAGGTCCTTAAGGACCTTCTTGCAAGATGAAACATTTGCTTAGTCTTAATGCAAGACACATTATATTTTATTAATTTAATTGAAGATCCAATAAAAGAAGAGCTTGGTCAATACAAATTACAATGATGGCACCAGCCTTCTGGCCTAGAGAGTTCCACATCTCACAAGGCCTTAGTTTATGTTGGAGAAGGTGAATAGCTTTCCAAAATTAGAAAGTCTAGAATCTACAGTTGCTTAATTTAGCTGGGATTCTAAACCCTAGACATCTAGTAGATGCACATGGCTTCTTTTTCTTTTCTCCATTAAAGTTGAATCTTGGTGGGAGTGATTTTCTTTCAAACTCTTTGCATTTGCCCCCTTGCTTGCATCTCGAGAAAATTTTCGAATTCTGAGCAACTTTTTAGGCATGTAAGGCGAAGTGTGACAAATGCAGTGACGATACATATATACATAATATATATTTGGATATTTTCACAATTTCACTTGCATTCATAGATTATAATTAAGGTGCGGTTTAGCAGTGTTAATCGTGTATTAAGAATATAAACCACAGAACATCCTACACATAGCTTCATTGATTTGTTCAACATGCGAGTAGTAATTAAGCAATGTAAAAAATTCTGTACGAACTGCACAATCTCACAAGTTGGTTTTTGTTTAATTAAGTTTTGTCCATGCATGTGAGAGTGGTTTGCAACCTTGCACCAATCAAAGGGTTTGTTTAAGCCAAGCTTTGGCCTCGGATTTTGGGGCAATGCCTTTATTTGATGTGGCATCCTGCAATGTGAGAGTGACAGAACACAACACTCAGCCAAGTAAACTGTGTTTAATTATGCTCACTTAATTATAATTCTCAGGGTTTGTCTCTAAGATACTACTGTTTATATTGGTATAATCCAAATTAATCATGTTTAAGAAAGATATAGAAGAAGACTGGGAGGTCTTGAAAGAAGCAATGAATTAACTATATAATTAATTATGCAGAAATCAGAAGGATGGTTTGCTGCTATTTGTTTGATATTTAGCAGATCATGAGAGAGAGAGAGAGAGAGAGAGAGAGATAGAGAGAGAGAGAGAGTTTTTGCCTTTTTTGGGCAGTCGAGGAACGATATGAATCATGGTAGTTTTGGTACAAGTCAACCTCTCATTCTTTGGTACACGTGTTGGTCCGACAGAAGATGATGGGACTCTCTTTGTCGTGACACGTGGCCAACTGCCATAACCTAACCCAGCTCCACCGTGGTGGTCCACAATACGATGATGTGGAAGCCAACATTGAATTGAAAACTTTCTTCACATCTCACAGTTGGCCAGTGCCAATCAACTCATAATTTGCAATGAAATATATTATCTTTTTCATGAGGGTTTGATAAACACAACAAAAACCATGCATTTTTATCAATTTTGGGATTCAATGGGGGTATTTTTTAGTAGGATTTCAGAAAAATGGGCAGTCATCAAATTGCTTGATATGGTTCATTTCAAGTCAATTAGTATGTAGGTGTCCCTTCAAAATAGGGATCTGTAGTTGAAGAATTTTCTGCTTCTCTTTGTTGCAGAGGGATTTGTTCTGCTCATGTTTCAATGAGATTTTTCCAACATGTTCTTCATCTTAAATTTGTGTTTCCTGCATATCTTGGTGACGGTGGTCATGAAATGAGATTATACTTTGAAATATCTCTTGGGAAATGACCAGATCTTTCCAATAACTTGACCAATGGTACTTTTAGCATGTGTGGTATATTATTTATCCTTTTGCCCTTTCAGGTATAATTTAACTTCAAAGAATGTAAGTTTTCATTGCTATCAAATACATGTTCCTCTGTCGAGAGCAGGTACCACAGTGATGGCCTCCCCTTTCCCTTCTGCTTGACACCCAAACTCAAAACCCCAAGGGGTTTCTTTCCTCCCAATGTAACAAAAAATACATGTTTCTCTTGGATGATAACTAAACTTTAGTTGTACTTTTATTATGGAAAAAGGGAAATTAACAAATAGACAATCACTAACTACGTACTATAAGAGCTTGTTTGCAGCTAACTTTATAGAAAACACTACTCGTGAATATTTTTATTTTTAGCAATTTTAACAGAAGCATGTCGAAATTTTTATTAAAAACCCAAGTGCTTCAAAGTGCTTTCCAAAAAAGTCATTTTAATTTTTTCTATCAAATGTTCTCAAAAGTACTTTTGATTGTTAGAAAACACTTTTAACCAATCCAAAAACCGTCCCAAACATTGCCAAACTACATAACACTAGTGTTTAGTGTAGCATTTCTATTTGTCCTTAGAACAACAGGGTCCATGAGATGTTCTTTTTGGCCAAAGGGTCCATGAGTTTGAAGCAGCTTGGCATTGTTGTGAGAGGTTTTTTGTGCCCTACAAGATTTGGGGGGAGGCAGGTGAGATTATGAGGCTGCCAGTCCGGTGAGTGAGGGACATTCCCACGCGAACGTGAGGTTTTTCTTCACTTGAAGATTGATGGCCTTTTGTTCATGGCCCCATTATTTTAATTTATATTTGGATATATTGCTAATGTTGCATGCTGCCCATGCCTCCAAGTTCCTATAACCTAAACCATTTGTCTGGATCTGCCATCAATATGTCATTTTTATTCTCATAAACTTTTCAGCAAAGTTTTCTGATGTGTATTGCTAGGTAGCCTCCAACTGTTATCTGCTGGCCAGAGTAAAATTTCTTAAGGCTTCCTCTACTCTCTTTTGTGCATTGGACAAGCAAATGCAGTGGCAAAATAATTTGTTGTAGGATTCAAAACTGAATTATGCTACCAAGATGCCCTTTTGGGAGCAACATTTTCCCATCTGCCATCTTTATGAAATGTTAGTATTAATGGAAGAAGGAAAAAAAAGCACTTTCAGAAGTAAGTTGGGAGTGATTCTGGGAAGGCCAGAACCACTTATGAGGAGAAGCATATCCTACGCGCTTATTCATATAATCACTTTAAGTGATTTTAAGTGATTTTGGGGAGAAGCTTCCATGCGTTTCTCTATAAAATCTCTTAAAACCACCTTAAGTGATTATATGGAGAAGTGATTCTTCATAGACGTGATTTTTGGCCTATCCAAAATCACTCCCAAACAGCCCTCAGTGACAAAAAGCCAGCATATTGATAGGCTGGACTTTGAAACTGCATTATGTTAACAAATGCCACTTTTGGAGGGACATCTACTTGTGAGAATTAATAGCAAAAGCAGTGTTTGAAGCAAGCAACTTTTTTGTGCAAACCATAATAGACTAAGCATATGCTTCATTCCAAAGTCAATGATTTGATTACTTGCAAAATTGCAGAGTTCTAGTACAAAGTACAAAAGTGACTGATTTATGTGCATGTATTGAGGTTAGAAGAAGAAGAAGAAGAAGGTTGTCGAAGAGGTTGGTGAAAACCATGAAATATTAAAAGGGATTTAAGTACACAATTTAGGCATTAAAAACCACAAGTTGGACAAAATGTAGCATAGCAAAATTGTATAGAGATTGGTTCCAAACTTCATGTGGATAAAATTGGTGACACAGAGGCTACAATTCACAGCAGATGTTCCAGAATAATGTGTCCGCAAAATCAGATTGACCCATGTGTAATTAAGTATGTGTACGGCTTAAACTAAAAGTAAAGAATTAAACAGAATGTTTTTTGGGCTAGTGGTGTATGGGAGTGTGAGTTATTATATAAGAAAGGCAAGAGGAGAGTTGGCAAAGATAGTGGCTAGATACAAAGATATAAAGCCTGTGTTTAGGAACTTGAACCAGTAGAAATCAAGCTACCTAGCTAGCTACCTAGCCAACCCTCTTTGATCAGCTTGGCCATGAAATTCAACAACCCCTCATCTTTAGTTTTATTCTCCCAAAGCTCAATTCTCATTGGCTTTTAAGATCTACTCTTGAACACCTCACTTCTACAAAACAAAACCCACCACTCTCCTCCAACCATCTCCACCACCTTTCTGTCAGAACTCAGAAGATCCTTGGCTATTTGTATATCAGAAAATGAAGGTGAGTCTTTGCTTCTGTTACATAAACTTACATTTGTGTTTATGTATTTGTTTGTGTGTGTTAGAGAAACAGAGAGACAGAGACAGAGAGATTGGTCTGGTTTTTTCTTCTTCTTTTTTTCCAGCTGAAACAGGCCTGAGTGACTGGCAAATGAGGTTCTTCAATGATGGTCTTGGTTTTATTTGATTGCAGCTTTTTGGTTGGATGCAAAATAAGCTTAATGGAAAGCAGGGGAACAAGAAACCAAATACAGTTCCTACTACTACTCGTAAGCTTTATTCTTTTACCCCCAAAAAAAAACCTCTGCATTTCTATGTTACTTTTATGTTCCATAGTTTGTGGTTCAATCTAAGTGATGGGATTTGCTTCCTATATCAGGGGAATTGTTTTCTTTAACAAGCTATATATGCAATGTTAAGGGTTATTTGCCATTTTGAAGCGAAAAGCAATTAGTTTACTAGGATCTTAATTAATTAAAGAGTTGTGCTAGCAACAGTCGTTCACGTGTATTATATAAGTGGGTGAGTTGTGCACAATTGTGGATCTCAAGATGAATCCATAGTAATGCACGATTTGTTGATAACACCAGCATTCTAGGATCATGTTAATGAGCAGACGTGTACTTCAAATTGATTAAGATTCAGAACATGGAATTATCAATGAACTAAGTTAACCAGTTGTATTGTTTATAAAGATCCAGATCTACAGTACATGCAATTTCTGCCAAATTCCATATTCTTAACCTCATTGTAAGTTTCAAATCCAACAATATTCCACGATCAGATCCCAAAGCTCTTGATTTTGATCAAGTCTTGGTGCTTTTTTGTTTCAGTAAGAGGTTTCACGTACTTTTTCATATAGATTAAAGCAATAGGAAAGTGAATGTGATGTAGGGATCATAAAAGGATCATTTTTCTGGAGCACAAAGTAGATCTACTGTCTTTACAAAAAGACACTTTGAAAATGCTGCACAAGTTAAAGTTATATATACAGAAAGGCAAAAATAAAGAAAAAGGCTTGCACTATTTTCAATATGGCCTGTCCATATATATAATAAGGGTAACGCAGCTTTTCAACTCCCATATCATTCATATCAGTTAGGATTTGTCATGTAATTATGTATTTGTTGTGTAGATCCTGCAAAACAAGAGCCTCGTGAAGAATTCAGTGACTGGCCTCATGGATTACTAGCAATTGGAACTTTTGGAAACAATGATTTGAAAGAAAATGCAGCTGAAAGCCAAGATATTCAGGAAGATCCAACTTCATCAGAAGAAATACTAGATAATTTCACTCCTGAAGAGGTTGGCAAATTACATAAAGAGTTAACAAAGCTCTTAACGCGAAAACCAAACATCGAAAAGGAAATCGCAGATCTTCCATTGGACAGATTTCTAAACTGCCCATCAAGCTTGGAGGTTGATCGGAGAAACAGCAATGCACTTTGCTCCGATTCAGCAGATGATCACAAGGATGAAGACATTGAGAAGACTATTAGTGTCATACTTGGTAGATGCAAAGAAATTTGTGGAGATAATAATAAGAAGGCAATTGGGAAGAAATCCATTTCTTTTCTTCTCAAGAAGATGTTTGTTTGCAGAAGTGGATTTGCACCACAACCAAGTTTGAGAAATACATTTCAAGAGTCAAGAATGGAGAAGGTATGAAACCATGACTATGCTCACAAAAACTATGTGAAAAGCTTACATGAATATGAACATGCACATATGCATTATAAAATTATGTCAGTTATTTAATTAAGTACCATCCTAATTGATCATCCATATTTTGGCTTGCAGCTTTTGAGGGTAATGCTTAACAAGAAGATCATCAATCCACAAGGATCTTCTCGAGCAGCATCAATGAAGAAATACCTGGAGGATAGACAGATTCCAACAAAGAAGGAAAGTAACACTGAAGATGATACAAAAGAGAAAATTAATGATGGATGTAAATGGGTCAAGACAGATTCTGAATGTAAGTGCTGGTGGGGGAAGAGGGGGAGGAAGAAATAGGGGAACCAAATTGCACAAACTCTGTGGATCTGATGTGACCTCTTTTTTTTCATTTGCAGATATAGTCCTAGAAATTTGAGTGTGCCTCTGACTTTATTGGCATTCTTATTAGTTATTACAAAGGTAAGATAACCCTTTTTCAGTTTCATTGAAATGAGACTGCCACTCTTTTCACTTTCATATATGCTAATTAAACTTCTTCTTCTTTTTTTATCTGCAGAGTCAGAAGTTTATGCTCCATACAATTATATGACTCAAATCAAATACTTGAAATGGCAAAGTCTGAGAAATTTCATAGGGGCAACACCAAATCATCAATAAGTTCATCCCCAGTGGCTCCTGAGATGACCATAAAATATGCATGTATGACTGAGACAGCTTCTCTATTTTGTTAACGGTGGCGGTTCCCCTTTTTTTCATGGTTGCATCTGTGTAAACAGTTGCAATGCATGTTATGAAATTTCAAGGGGACAAGGGATTTCTGTAGTCTGTGCTGGCAAATTGAGCTAGACGATATCTACATTTTTCATCCTGTTTATTTTCTACACATTTTTCTCTGTCTTTTGTTTTTCTCTGTCTTTTTTCCTTTTTTTTTTTTTTGGCTGAATTACTATCTTGTAATATAATTTGAGGTGAATAAATTTTAGATTGACATGAACTTATGAAGGCATGGTTCAGAGTTTCTGATTCTCTTCACCTGCCCAGAGCCCCTTGTTTTCAAAATGAAGTTCAATTTGTATGCCAACCATTAGCCCATCACTTTTCTTTTCTTTTCTTTATTTAAATGCCAAGTGAGATTACAGAAAACCACCTTTGATATAATGAATTATAAACATGGTTGAACTGAGCACAATAAGAAACATCAAATGGAAAATAAGACTGTCAAATTGTTGAATCAGGGATGTCATGGATAAGAACACTTCTAAGGAAAAGGAGATTGCAATTGAGAGATCATATGAGAAAATTTTGTGAGAAGGCCTAATAAGGTAGGATTGAAATAAACTGGGCTTTGCACTTCATGGGCCATTTCCACAATCCACACTTATCAACCCATTTTTGGATTTTTTTCATTAAAGAAAAAGTTTGGCTCCTTAAAACTTAGGAGGAGCTCGCTTAATTCCTTGCAGCCGTTAATCCATGCTTATCAACCCACACATGTGCAAAAACAATGCGTCAACAACACAAAAACAAAAACACACACAAACTCCAACTGTTATGGACATGAATGTAAAACTTCCTACTTGGGAAATGATGCAAGTTTTTCCCAAATGAAATAGAAGGATAGTAAAAATTGTGTTAAGAGAATAACACATAGATAAGGTGAGCAAAAAACCATTTGAACCATTTAAATCGGGCAACCCAAATCAACTTTAGTGGTTCAGTTCGTTTTACACCAAAAAATATGATCTTAGATTGAATAACAAATCACAATTGTTTGATTTGATTCGGTTCAATCCATGTCAAAGAATACAACATGAATTTCTATTTGAAATGTACTAGAGGAACTACAATTGATGTTTAATCAAATGACTGAATCAAATCGATTACTAAATAGGTTGGTCTGATTTGATTATACTTTTTTTTTTAATTTTTAAAGGGGGACAGCTGGTGGCAAGCCACGGCCATCCACCCTTTCCGGGACCTGGAGAGGCTATAGGGAATTTCACCCCGTCCCTGGCCCTCATCGCTTGATTCACCAACGACAGGAATCGAACTCAGGATCTCCCGTTTACATAGGGCCTGGAAAACGCCCTTACCACTGGGCCAACCTGTGAGGGTTAATTTGATTATACTTTTAGTATAAGGCTAAAGTGTATTATTCGAACTGTAATATTACACAAATTTAGTATACCCTTTAGATCTAAATCGAATCAAGTAAGACCGAATTCTAATACAACTACTAAATTGACAAAATTAAAATTTAGTACAAAGCTGCTATTTTCACCCTTGTTCTACTCGCCCCACATTTATCTTCAAAATTTTGAAATCAAATTTACTTCTCTGTAAAATGACCTCTAAGGACGGGGTGGAAGCAAGGCCATTCATTTTTGTTTTGCTCTCTTGAAAGATAAAGGAAATTGTCTTCAGTTCCCCAAGAGAGAGAAAGAGAGAGAGAGAGAGAGAGAGAGAGAGGTAAAAGCAAAACAAAACAAAACCTGATGTAGTAATGACGCCAACTGGTTCGGAACTTTCTGATACTCAAGCGATCCTCCTAGAATAAGTAATCTAGGATTTTTGTACTGCGAGGTCATGCGCTTGTGCTTTATATTCTTTGTACAAACTAAACTGTGTTTGCTTCTAAAATGACATATATCTAAACTGTGTTTGCTTCTTCTTTTTTAAACGATACTTCCATTCCATCTATATGGGCTCTCTCTTTGCTTCAAACATGTTGCTTTCATGGTGGATTACTGGGCATGTGAGTTGTTCAAGTTTGCATGGAAAAAAAAAAAATAGAAGCAAAAATTCAGCAGCCATTCACCCAACTACAACGCTAAAATTTTAAACAACAAAATGAGACCTTTCATTCTGAACAAAAAAGGACCTCTCAAGATTTTCCGAAGATGAAGGAACCAGCTTGCTTCACGGTGGAAGATTGAATCAGGGGAGGGGAGAAGGAAGAGAAGAAAGAATGAGAAAAATAGAATTAATAATTAAAAGATATTTTAGGAATAATAGTGGGTGGAAAGATAGGATTGTGTTTTTTCAAATTTACAAGATGGGTGGGAAAATAAAACATACATGAAAATAGCAGCACTCATTTAGTATAGTAGTGTTACCCTTCTATTTAATTACCTGTCACAATTTACTATTTCCATCTATGAATCATCCAACGATTTCCAATTATGAATCAAATTCAAATAATAGATTTCGACCTAAATAATAGATTAGACAAAACCAATTGAGGAACTACTAAGAAACTTACGAGAGTACTTTTCGAAAGGCTAAAAGCGTTTTTTAACAACAAAAAACACTTCTGATAATGTTTGGCAAAAAAGTTTAGAAGCCCTTCTAGGTCTTAGAAGCACTTTCTAGAGCTATATGCTTCGTTAGGAAGCATTCCCAAGTATTTTTTTCACGAAGCACTTAGATATCTTTTTTAAAAATTCTAAATTTTTATAATAGAAACACTTATAAGTATTAGTACTTCCTAAAGAAGCAATCCTAGGATCTTTGATCAACCAAAAAAAAAACACTTCTAAGATATTTGCTTAACTTCCAAACAAAACCATGTCTCTCTCCAAACCCTAGAATAATTGTAATTCTCGACCCAATAAATAAAATAACCCCTTGCCTCCATTGTTTCTGGATTTTCTCTCACTTTCTCTCTCGTTTCGCCGGCCAAATTCTCCCCCTCGTACTCTTCCGGGGCGATTGGATCTGAGTGTTTTTTTAATTACAAATTTATCCGGTCCCATTAATCCGGAAGAGAAGCCTCGAATTCTTTCTCTCCGCAATTTCTAGGGTTTTTGGATCTGAAAAGCTAGGATTTTCTTGCTTAGTTCGTTAAAGTTAGGGTCTTTTGCTTATTTTGTTCGAAGTTAGGCCCTTGGTTTTGGTGGTGTTTATCTTGGAGGAAATTGAAGGTCTTGGCGGGGCATCAGAGAGAAGCCTGTGCTGCCAATGCCATTATTGGTTTGGATATTGGTAAATTTTTCGGTGATTTTTGATAAACCGAAAAGGTTGAAGTTTTTAGAGCTAGGAAGAAACACCAATGTCTTGGGCGGGCCCCGAAGATGTTTACCTCTCCACTTCTCTTGCCAGCTATCTTGACAGTATGCTTTCTCTAATTTCTACTTTTTCTGGGGTTATGAATTTAATGGTTGCATGAAGTTATGATATCATTTCTAGTTCTTTCCTGATTGTTTTCATGCATCTTTGTCACTGTGCCATTGATTTGTTCTTGTTTGTGTTCTTTGTGGTTCAATTTGTTTATTCAATTTCATCTCAAGGTTTTTGTTTTCAATGTAATCTATGTTCTTTATAGGTTTCCATTTGAATTTTTCTTCTTCTCGTATTTGAATTACCTTGTAGATACATCAATACTTCAGAAGTGTGTAAAAATATGTTATGAGGTCTGAAGTTGGTGCATGGTGCATAACAATATTATCTCACTGTCAGTGAAATCTTTGAATGAATATTAATAAAATTGACTCGAAGATTGCATGATGGGTTTAGGTTGGCTTTTTAGTTGTGGGTTCAGCGATTGTTTTCTTGCAGTAAAGGCGCAGTGGTCTGATGTTATTTTTCATGCTGCAGAAAAACTTCTTGTGCTGCTCCGAGATGGTCGGAAGCTTTTGGGGATTCTTCGTTCTTTTGATCAATTTGGTACCAACATTATCTCCTCTATTGTTGTGGGAAACGCATGCTAAACTTTTGCTCAATCTTCTAAAATTATTATTATTTCTGATTTGCAGCCAATGCTGTTCTCGAGGGTGCATGTGAGCGAGTCATTGTTGGTGAACTTTACTGTGACATCCCTTTAGGTCTTTATGTAATCCGTGGGGAGAATGTTGTTCTAATTGGCGAGCTGGTATGATTAGTTATTGGTTGATTTGGCATCCACAACTTACAAGAGATTGAAATTTTGCATCTTTGAATAATGTTAAGATCTGCATTTGATGTTCTAGGATTCGGAGAGAGAGGAACTTCCACCACACATGACTCGTGTTTCGGCTGCAGAAATCAAAAGTGTAAGTCTTACCAGCTTGATGTTATCTATGAATGGTGTGTTGATATGAACTCCCTCAGTTCCTTCCTTTTTCCTTCATGAAGAAAACTTCGTTTTGGACTTCAATTTGTTTAAGTTACTGAGTTGTTTCAGATTGAGTTTGTAAAGCTGCATGATTTTAAAACACTTGGTTTGAAAATAAATATTGAGAAGATTAGGGGAATAAAATTTGCAATGGAAATTAGTAGGTGAATGATGCAGTTTAGAAGCATATGTTCATCACAATTTTGGAAGTTTGATTCCAGTTTATAGGATGCTTGAGCTGGTGTATAATTTTGCGCTATATGTTCAAAATGTAAGCATACAAATGTCTGGCGGGATAATAGGATCATTTGTTCTATGTGTGTTTAAGTATCCATAAGAGAAATCATTAACATTTCTAGAAGAGAGAAATATCTGACATTGCTGGAGTAAAGATGATTGTAATGATTAGCCCAAATATCTTTTCTGAAGAGTTTGTGTTAGTATATGAAATTCTAAGTACCTTTAATGTCTATGCCCTTTTTTTTTTCCAAATGACCTTCATAAAAATGTTTTCTTGTATATCAGTTTACTTTATGTATTGGTGTCAACAGATCAACAGAAAAGGTTTCCAGGTTACCAAAACTGGGGTTAAATAATTCTGTGAATTTGAGTAAACTTGGTAAGCCATTTTGCAAAAATCATACCAAGAGACAGAATGTCTAGAAACCTGGCCAAAAGATGTTGGTCCCCGAGTGGGGTTTGAATTAGGGCTTTCCTGGTGGTAGGGTACATGAATAAATGGTTTTCCATTTTTCCTTTCCAGTGTTCTTGTTATATTTGGTTCTGCTTTGTTTGTTATATTTTGATGTGCTTTGCTTTTATTGGAATCCTGTACTAATGATTTGCCTTGTAATTGTGCAGGCACAGAAAGCAGAACGAGAAGCGTCTGATCTTAAAGGTACCATGAGAAAAAGAATGGAGTTCCTTGATATGGATTAAAGGATTTTGCACCAAGTTCATGGAGTTATTCACTTGTCGTCCATCCGCAAATATTATAGCGGCATCTTTTCTTTCTCGTCTTCTCCCTCAGGTTGTCTGGTGTTCGTAGATGGTAGAGGTTTTAAAATCCTTGGAAATTATAATTGTAATGAACAATAGTTCAAATTTGTTTCTGTAATATTTGTCTGAGTTGAATAGAAGTATCCCTTTACTTTTAGTAGTATGACAAAAATTTGTGTGGATTCGAAAGTCCAGGGGCTTTTGACGCAATAAAGAACATAAAAAAATCAAATGAACACCAAGAATGACGTATCAAAGCCGACAAAGTACTAATTCCGGTAATCTCTCATCGGCTTAACATCTGGTGTTCTTATTTGGTCTAGCCCCGCCAAGCTGTTATTGGCATCTTAGCATAATTTTGTAGTGCTGAAAACAATGGTGGGGCTGCCGCTCTCACCGGCAGCCCTATCACATGGAGTGGGATCAAAGAACAGGGGTTTCTTTCTTTCTTGAAGTTGGCCGGATGACCGGACAATTCACGTGATCAGGCGGCCTGACCAAACAAACAAGCCACATAACGTAACCCTGTTCCGTAGTAAGTTTTTGGGAGTTTCACTAAAACACCCAAAATGGGGGTTGAAATTATAAAAAAACCCAAGCACTATTTAAACATATAAACACACCCAAAACCCATCATTATACACACTCAAAACTCATTTATAAACACACCCAAAAAGTTGACTTTTGGGTTAATTTTGGGTGTGTTTCTATGTTTAAATAGTGCTTGGGTTTTTTTATAAATACATGTCTAGGATTGGATTTTTTTATAAATTTGTATAAGTTTTTCTCATTCAGTATAGAACAGGAGAGTGGAATGGACAATGGAGTGTCCAATTCTTCTAAACACCGACAGCATTGACTTTGATGGCATTCGTCTCGTCGCAACATAAGGATGAAAATCTTACTGGCCAGGCTTTTACTCAGAGTCTCAAAGGCCAAACCAAAAAAACACATTATTTATATTTCAAAATCCATAAATAATAAATAATTATTATATGAAAAGTTAATAATCGGACGCTCGTGGTTTCGCACGTTCCCTCGTGCATTCAGTTCAACGGCTTTAACCCCACTCACACGAAAACCAAGCCATACGTGCATTACACACAAGACTTTCTCTCCCACCTCAACATTAAACAAACATTAATTAAACAGAGTCCCAGCAAGTGTCAAGTGGAAAGAGTAGAAACGAGAAAGAGAGAGAGAGTCTTGGGAGACAAAGGCAGCTGAAAGCTAAAACAGATCAGATTTCAGAGACCACCAGAGAGAAGCTTCCTCTCTCTCTTCTGTCTCTTAGATTTGGGTTTTAGGAATTGGAATTTAGGGCTTTGAAATTGAAATGTGGTTCTCTTCTTCAGCCCTTGTTTTTCTGGTGTGCGTTTTGAGCGTGGAAGCTTCGGTCCACGAGTACGCCGGAGAGAGATTCGCCACTAAAGGCAACGCCTTTGTCGTCCATGGCGGCAGCGAGGGAATTTACTCTTCTGCCCCTACTCAATCGACCTCCGTCTCTGCCAACGGCGACTCATTTATACGGTAAATCATGAATTTCATTTTCCCATTTCCTCTCTTTGCTTTCTAGCTGTAGTCTGTCTACTTTGTAGTTGGATAAGATCCTGCTGCCCAATTTGCTTCACTTGAATATTTGATTAATTGGGTGCATAATTGGTAATTCTGATTTGTAAATTGTAAAGAAACCAAGCTTTTTCATGGGAATTTTGAACGTGATTGGCCAGTTCATGTGTTAGTGGCTGCAGCTGATTTTTATTTTTATTTTATTTTTTACTTGCTCCTTGTTTGTACCCATTGTCTGATTTTGTGTTATAATTTGGAACCAGCTTTGAAAAGATTACATTTAGGAGAAGCAAAGAATCTGCTAACTTGAGCTCATGGCCTGTCCATGCCATTGTTTTTGAGGTGGAGGATAGAGAGACTATTGGGGGTTCAGCCTATGGTGGTCAAAGAGCAGTGTGTTGCACAGGGGATCTTGCAAAACTGGGAGTTTGTACCGAAGGCGAAATCATACACCGCCCGTCTACTAAGAATCCAGGTTGGCCTCGGGTATTTGGTGTCTCATTTGAAGCACATGAGAAAGTTGCCACATTGCCATCCAAATCCATACAGATTACTAAAACTGGGATGTACAATTTGTATTTCATTCATTGCGATCTGAAGCTGAACGATTTGGTTGTTGAGGGGAAAACTATATGGAAAAACCCTACTGGGTATTTACCTGGTAGAATGGCACCTTTTATGAATTTCTATGGGTTTATGTCCCTTGCTTTTGTCATACTTGGGATCTTTTGGTTCTCACAGTATGCAAGATTTTGGAGAGAAGTTTTCCCATTGCAGAACTGTATCACTCTGGTAATAACACTGGGTATGTTTGAGATGGCTCTATGGTATTTTGAGTATGCTGAATTCAACGAGACCGGAGTCCGACCAACTGGGATAACTGTATGGGCAGTTACCTTTGGGACAGTTAAACGTACGGTGGCACGTGTGATACTTTTAATGGTCTCCATGGGCTTCGGTGTTGTAAGGCCTTCCCTTGGTGGGCTTACATCAAAGGTGATTTTGCTTGGACTGACCTTCTTTGTGGCATCCGAGGTTCTTGAGATGGTAGAAAACGTAGGTGCAGTAAGTGATCTTTCCGGAAAGGCAAGGTTGTTCTTGGTTCTTCCTGTTGCAATATTGGATGCTTTCTTCATTCTTTGGATATTCACTTCCCTCTCCGCAACTTTAAATAAGCTTCAGGTACGTGCTTTGGTTTTTGATTCCAAGGATATTTAGTGAATTATTTTCAATATAAACTTCATTTACTAATTTTGCTGCACTTGCTTCATATAATCTGCCAATTTGTCTTAACAAAATGAAAAACCAATATGCTTGAATCTTGAGGAAAATTATATGAGAAAATGAAGTAAAATCATACTCTTTGTCAATCATAGTTTACCATTCATCTCTTGTTTGTGGCTTATCCAGGGGTATTGTATTGGTATACTCAGGTTTAATGTATGCTGCATGATGTGATGCCACCAATTTCTGTCAAGAACTTTAACTTATATGTATCTGGCTGATAACTTCTTCTTGCTTCTGTGATGTGGCAGGCTAGGCGAATGATGGTTAAACTAGATATTTACAGGAAGTTTACCAACGCTTTGGCAGTGACTGTTGTTGTGTCCGTGGGTTGGATATGCTATGAGGTAATCTCGAAATTGAAATGCATGCACTTTTACCTAAGAAGATGAATAAAGTATTTGTGATTTGGTTGTGGGTTAGCATGTCCAGGATAATTATAAATGATTTGCATCTGTTGAATACAACATGATCGTGTGTGCAGCTCTCATTGTTTTTAATTTGACAAGTGAAGCATTTTGAACTTTGTACTTGCAGCTATATTTCAAATCAAATGATGTATACAATGAGCAGTGGCAGAATGCATGGATCGTCCCTGCCTTCTGGCAAGTTTTATCTTTCTCTCTCCTATTTGTCATCTGTGTTCTTTGGGCACCATCGCAGAACTCAACAAGGTGAAGATCTGGCTTCCATCCTTCCACTCAGAAAAGTTGTCATGTTTAAACTTGTTACATGAATCTACCCTTTTTGTATATTTTATTTGAAAACTGGCAACCCTTCCTTCTTTTGGTATATGAATTATCCCTTATCCCCACCCTATCTCTCTTCTGTTTTCTTAGATATGCTTACTTGGGAGATGCAAGCGAAGAGTTTGACAAGGATGATACGACCTTGACACTCATAAAGCCATCTCTAACGCCTGCCAAGGATGTCCTTAGTGCACCAGAAGCTAGAGCAATGCAAGGCAGCAATGGGTTATCAAAAGGTGATGATGAAGAAGACAAGATAGAGTAAAGTAGAACCACCCAGCTGGTACATTTTGTTTGCATTGCAACAATATCCCGCTGCTCCTTACACTACAAAGGGAACATATGATAAACAGAGGAGCAGAATTGGTCATGGGATAGAAAATTCAAATTGTATGTTTGGATTATAACGTTAGTTAGTTTTGTTTCATGTCCTTGTGTATTCGATTATTTCGTTATTATTATTAATGTTCCACTTACAAGTAGTCAAAGATACGCAAATGAGATCTGTTGTTGTCGTGTTCTTTTCTGATAAATATATTTATATCATTGGCGGTTCACATTTTATCTCAGTACTGGTGGTGGTGAAGCCCTTGGTTGATTTCAAAAGCTTAAACGCGCCTGTTATCCATCAATCTAATTCCTGTTTGAAAATATTTAAGGTTATTTCCCTTCTTTTCGTTGATCAAACACGGGGGAGAACAACACTTTAATCTCTCTAGCACATGGTTTGTAGGTGTTTGCACGTATGCGATTCTTTACCGTAAGATCTAGTACCTGATAGAGTGGATCCTGAGCATTTTCCCTCTTATGAGAATTTTTCCTGTGACACAGAAACTATGATGCGCGTGGTACTCATTTGATATCATAGTACCTTTGCATGGAAAACGATTTGTTAGCTTTTGTGGAAGGATTGTGCTCACGCCATCTGGCTGCAAATAAGTGACTGGTTCAAATATTTTGTTATAATACGTAGAACCGACTGATTGAACGAACTATGTCAATGGAAATGTCTTAAAGTGAGATTTTAACAAATCATCATCTGATCCTGAAGGTTATATTATGAAATGTAAAGGTGAGGAAATTGTTTGCTCTGTACTAGTGGATGCAAAATCTGGCAGGCCCGACGAGAGATCGATACCCCAAGGCCTGGTTGGAAGTCCTCTCTCGGCCATGGGAAACATTTCCACATGAAGAAAGAATGGATTTGCCCAAGTTAAGCTAGATTTGCAGAGTTGGAAGGAATAGGAATTCCAAAATATTGGTTCAGAACAAACAGAAGCACCAACTCTTCTTGCCAAATATATTCTACATCCAGGCTACAGCTAACTTATTAATCACAGAACTCTCTCTTATAAAATCCATAAAAACATATTTACATTTACCGAGAGAAATTCAATAAAAATGCCAAGTATAAACCTAAATTTATTATATATCATAAATAACATAAGGAGCAAAACTAAGGTAATTAGAAAACTAACTCATTTAACATACAGAAACCTCAACTGAAGCAGAGATGGCAGAGGCACCGTAATGCAACTTGGGAGGGGCAGTTGAA